TCTATTGGATACATGTAATGCATTCACACTTCCAGAATAAAAAAAAAACTTTTTTTTTTTAATTCTGGCGCGTATTTAGTATAAGCAATGTTTGTATGAATTTGAGCAATAATTTAAAACGATCTCACCAACTTTCGCTGTTTCTTCACTCTTCTGTCCAATTGTCGTGTCTATTTGTGAGCTCGTTGTCCTTCTCTGCATCACTGCTAGTTCCTGAAAGTCTTCCATGTCATTTCTGATGTGATCCTCGATATATTGACGTCCACATTTTTAGTATGATGATCTTGAGTTCCTAGTTGTTCCTTATACTTTTACTTTGTCGACTCCATGGTACCAACAATCAATACGAAACTAACTATTTTAAATTGGCTCACTACTTGACTAGCCTATTGGTCCCAAGCAAACGATTAACGTATCCCATTCTAGTCAAAATTCTAGTACTACGCAATGTTTGTTTTGATTCGCTATGAAAGTTTGACAGATAAAATGAGGGGTTATTGGTTTTTCCTATGTTTCGAGGGGTGCATCGATTAGCTTGGGACCGAAGAGAGTACCAGAGCTGAGCCAAAAAGTTGGGCACGTTATTTCGGGACCTTCTAGTCTTAGAGTTACCTCTATGATGGTACCGAAAAAGATATTGATATATACATTATTAGCAATGCTGTGATATAACCACTAAGGAATGGCCGTTCATAATGGTTCAACGGATGTGAAATAAGGGAACATTTAAATTTAACACGATTTAAAGCATTTCAATGGAACATTACATTTGTTCACTGACAATTAACACATTTTTCAATATTTTATCTTAACTTATTTCTGAAAAAATTTACTTGTGTTTTATACCATTTGTATCAATGTTCCGTCATATCGTATCTTCAAGTGATCTTCGCAAGCGCTACATTTCGTTTAGGCTCTTTGCAACTACATGTGATGAAATATGAAACGCACCTTTTAAAGTGAATTGCACATAACAATGTTCATCACTTACTCACACATGGGATCTGCCAACCTGGCAGAACGCGCCCTAACCCTCACTGAACCAAAGGGTAGGGATTAAGACTCTTGTGGACCTTTTACACCCAAAGAGACAATTCAAAAATTGTTTGGATAAACCTACAGTAAGCAATAAAATATGGTCGCAGAATGCAGTACGCCTCCGGAAGATCAAATTTCCAAGTTTTAGGAGATAAAATCTATTACAAACATCCCAATCAAACAGAAATTGAAAAATGTATTGAGGTAATCTTTGTAAGACGTTTTTCTAATAATGTGTTTTTGATTTCCATCGGCAGATCGCACATAAAAGCACACAGAAATCAACCGAAGATGGTGAGGACCACACCAATCGGGCCAGATTTAAAGTGGCAATGCCTATTTGAGCAGAGATCGGTCCGGCAGAGGGCTCAGATGACGATGAAAACTTTCTGTGTTTCCCAGACGTGGCTTTCAATCCTCGTAGTAGGAAACGCAGAAGGTCCTGTGAAGAAGAGGAATCCTTAAGTTTCTTCAGCATGGCGGAGCGCCCTGAGTCTCGCAAAGCAAGAAACCGCAAGCAAGTTAACCCATCCTGCCGAAGCACCATCATCACGCGGTCGCATACACCGCGCTACACCGCGCTCAGAAGCCAACGAAGTGTGAACATGTATAGAAGAATGAACAGTCGTAGCTTTGAATTATTGAACAATAATATTGATAAATGATAATAATTAGAACGAAATATATTGAGATTATTAGGGAAATAGTACTCAATATACAAACGAATTAGTATTAGGTCTGATTTGAAGTTTATAATTTTAAGGAGAAGAGACATAGGCGTAGCCAGAGGGAGGCAACTGCCCCCCTAAACTCAGCAACACATAGGCTTTCGGTGAAATGGCATTTGGCCAAATTTTCCATAGAATTTTTTTTTTGTTTCATCCCTCCCTAACTCGAAACCTGGCTACGCCCTTGAGAAGAGACCATATGTCATATGAGTTGATGAATTTAGTAAGTAAATAGCCAAAACGGTCAGCATTTGTTTTGACAGATAGCTTTATTTTAAAGAAGTTCTAGATGGTAATTGTTGTCCTGAAGCGGAAGAATTGTTATAGGAGAAATAGATGTAATGTTGGCCTAAATGCCCCTAATTTGGGCCCATACATAAATTTACAATAGCGACCAAAAATATCCATTAGTACCGTCCCAATGACGCTATCATCTAGATAAAATTGATAAATATGTAGCCGATTTTTAGCGATGGACCCAATCTTAGGTCCATAGGCCAACATTAGAGCCATTTCCTCTATCTGTGTCACTGCAGCATACATGAAGTAGCAATTTCAGGTGAAATTGGGCACTGATTTCCGAGATTTGAGCAATTGAAAATTCGAAGTGGAAGTACATGTATAGCCTTTGTAGCGGCCATTTTTGGACTCTACAAGGAATCACCTTAAAGCTGAGTGGTCAGTCTTCAGATAAACTGTAAACAAGGTGTTTATTTCCTGTTAAAACGGAAACATATTAGAAAGTTAACATAACATAAACATATTTAAAAGAAGCAAAAACAAATCTCATAAAACTTTCAATTCATGGTTCCTCGTGGTGAATGATACTGCCCATAAAAGTATAATTGTTCCATCTTTGCTTGAGTTCCTATTCATATGGGACAGTTATGCTTTTATGGGCAGTATAGATCTTGGAATTACTGTGCAAGGATTATATTGGCGGCGCAATGTTCTTGGACGAAATGACCGGCGGTGAAACGTCTTTCGGCGAAATGACCCATTCGGCAAAATGTTTGGCGGCATAATGTCCTTCAGCGAAATGACCCGCTCCCTTCTGAACTGCACGGAAAACAATATTGTGAATAAAAAAGCCTTTAGTTTGGAGAATATCTTTGATTGACGAAGAATGAATGAGATTTTGGCGAAGGAGAGGCTTTGCAAATAAATATCGCGTGAATTTGTTTAATGACAATGCCAAATCTCAGCTATGACTCCACCACACATAAACTTATCTGCCGGTGGAAGCATAAATGTCCCATGTAAAATTTTAAATTTTTTGAGGTTATGATGCTTAACGTTATAAATCAATACATATTTTTAAAATATTATATTAAAACATGCTGTTTATTCTAGAAAAAAAAAATGTGAAATCGTTTTGTCCCATTGCAAAAATGGACGCATATCTGTCCCACTGCTCCAATTTTTAATATGTATAAGAAATTATTCAAAAGTTATAGTCTGTTATCCAAATAAAACATCGTAAAATATTACAAGATCCAAACGATTACCCAAATGGTAAAATTAATCTTTAAATTATTTGGATGATACCTCGATAACGTCGTAGGCACATTGACACTTTTTTTTTTGGAAAATTTAAGCTATCATTCTCAGTTCTGTTGCTATTTACAAACAAATAAATTATATAATGTACTAATCAACTTGCAACGCCTTGCCCTATTTGTACCTTTTCGTGACACATATTATGATAATTTGGTATTGAAAAACTATAGAGTAAAATGAGATTTTTTTTAATAAAAGATATGCATACAACGGTTAACGTTAAAAAACTATCATTCCGATGCATGTTGCTTGGTCGGAAGACCAACTAAAAATGATGTTTCGTCTTCTCCAATAACAGGTACGATAACTGCCAACAGAGAGGCCTTCCTATCTACTTCAATTCAACGAGGAGACCTTTACCAGAGTACGTTAGCTTCAGTAGATGACGTATCGTTGGCGATCAGCTGGAGTTGTTTCTCAGCAGCAACTGAGAAGTTGTTCACAGTGGGACAGATAGGTGTACATTTTTCAACTCGTCAGAGAAATTCACAGCATAAGTTTCACAGAAAATTTTGTAATGGAATAATTTCATTTTATGCAAAATATATTCAAACACGAAATTTAATATCAAAGATGTATTAAGGGGGATTTCCGGTTCAATATTTTCAAAAAATCGATACATGAAATCAAAGCTAAACATGTCTAGAATATGTGGGTAAAAGGATATTTCGATCCGGCAAATATTTACGTCGCTACAGGCCTTTGAGTGCACCGACCTCCCGAGCGGTATGGGTCGCGCAGGTATAAGAAAAAATGTTTCGCAAACTTTAAACGCGTTTTTCTCGAAACTACATTTTTCAAAACTGCGAGCACTCTAGCTTTTGAACGGTTCAACCAATTGACTTCGTTCTTTGCTTCCTTTATTGAAAACACTTTTCTTCATGGAATGAACTATAGACTCAAGGAGAAATGTGCAATTTTCGATTTTTCACAGCCTGTCAAAGTCAAAAAATCGACCGAAAAAAACGATTTTTTTTCAAATGCCCGCCATTTTGTCAAATTTTGAGATTTTTCTTTTCAAAGATTCTAGTTCATTCCATTCTCTGAACTATACTCTTCAAGAAACTGAGCCGATTTTCTTTCTAGGTGACAATTTGCGACCTCTAGGCTGCTCGCAGTTTTGGGAAGTACCCGCCGGGCAGCCCGCATATTGGACGCCATTTTGGATTTTTGGACTTGAAAAAAATCCCAGTTGTAGAGCAATAATGAATAAAGATTTGACAAAAAACTCAGGTCTCTAACTCTTAGCAGTTCCCTGGAGAAAAAAATCCAAAGTTTAGGTCAATTGAACCGGAAATCCCCCTTAAACCTCGGTGGCTTCAAAACGCCATGTGTTATAAACATGACCACAGCTGTGAAATATCTTGGTATAAAGTTTGTGTTCATTCATATTTTGCCTAAAACATACCATAATCATCAAAAATAACATATAAACATCTGCAAATAAATTCAAACAAAAAGAAAGGGAACGAAATAGCCTTTATTAAAAACCATTCTATAATACAAATGTTGTTCCACATCAAGTGTCTACTATATACTAACGAAATGATTCATAGCTGCCCCGCGATTGTGTCCTCAAATCAGAAGAGAATAACAGAAACAATACGCCTTTCGAAAAGCAACTTCAGTTAGGATAGAGTCCAATATCACTGTAAAACACACGTGTTCACTTACCAGTCAAGCCGATTAATACTTGTCAGGTTGATGATTTTGATCGGATGTCAAATTTGTGGTTTATGTTTCCCACCGCACAGCCGACACGATACGCACATCCAGTGGCACGCCCGCATCGGTGGATAGCACCAAAGACAGGGCACCAGCAGCGACAGCAAAGCCAAACCGATCCACCTAAAATGTATGATTGTGGCGTTGTAAAAGTTGCAATTGACATGAAAATCAAGATAGCCTACCGCTTTGTGCAGCCAGCTTCCACCGAACAGGAGCAAGGATGAGAAGCCGTTTCACCTTCGGAGTCTTTCATACAGTGGTACAGCATACACTGAGCGCACAACATTCCGGACATGTTCTCGATGGTGGTCCTGAAGCAGTCTGGCGCATAATCGCACGAGCCTTTGTAGTTGCGATCGTCATTGTAGAATTCTTGGCAATACCTGTTGGGTAAAGATGGTGAACATACATCTACACGATTTCAAGGTCTGTTTATAGAAGTTACCTGCAGCGCAATCGAGTCTTGATGAGCGTGGCCTCCTTCATGGGTGGCGTGTCGAGAGCGTTCCGCTTTTTCAGACTAGAGGTCGAGTCTCGCCGTCCGCCGATTATCGAACCAGGTTCCTCGACGACCGGGTAGTTGTAATCGGGCACCTTCAAGTTATAAAAGTTATATTTAAACTTGATGTCACCCGGCTGCAGCGTGTTTTAGCAATTAGTTACGGGGCACGGATCGTGTTATATGAATGGAGATGCGGTAGGATTTTTTTTGGTCGGTTGATAGGTTAGCATGCCAGATGGGAGGAAAAAAATCATTGGGTTATACGGGATTAGCACTATTATTTTATGTTAGGAGCTACTTACGTCAGTAATCTGAACGTACGAATAGTTGTCACCAGGTACTATTGGAGTAACTTTATCATCACCAGGCCTTATCAGAGGTGATGGTTTATCGCTCGATATGTATTGAATACTGGATTGCTGCTGCTGTGATTGTTTATCGACGCTTTCTGAAATGTAAGATAGGATAATATTTAGTAAGAATTTTTATTCTATTGATCTATATAAAGGGTGCACATTTAAATTAAAGTACATATAGTTAAAGTTTCTCTTAATTTACTAGGTAAAAACGGGACGGTGCCCACGTAGTAGTTTTAACATCCACAGTCACGAGTTCAAATCTCGTCTCCGGACAAGTCACGAATGACACAAGGCTGTTAAAGTGACTATAATAATAGTAACAATAAAACCTGAATTTATTCACCTATGGTGAGATTTAATCCTTCTTACTTATCTAAATTCCGACAAAAAATTGCTCAAGTTCGCATTTAGGTAAGAGACGTAAGATAATTTCTGACTGATATGTGGGAATGTGTTCAAATTTTCATGCAATACTTTTTGAATCATGGAGGAGTTTTTGGATTCGGAGCACTTGAAACATAGCCGGTGCAAATGACAGACATGAAAAATCATTTGCATTCATTTTGTGCATTCATTTACATTCATTTGCCTCTAACTTTCAACAGTATTCCGCAAAATGATGTAAAGAGCTTTTGTAGGTTTTATTATTAGCTACAACTTTTGTAAACAAGTCAAATCCATATCTGTTATGCATGACGAAGCAGAGCGAACAGAAGCCACTACTGTTTTGCAGTGAATGTATTTAACATTCACTGAAAAACAGTAACAAGTTCTGCCCGCTTTAGTTCGTGATGCATAAGAGATACAGATTTGAGTTATGAGCAAAACTTGTAGTTGATAACAAAACCTACAAAAGCTCTATACATCACATTACATATCGGAATTCTGTTGATGAAAAAAGTTAGAGGCAAATGAATGTAAATGAATGTATGAAATGAATGCCAATGATTTTCCATGCCTGGCAAATGATCATGTATTTGAATTTTGATGTGATTTTAGTTTGCTAAATTGTAGACCAAGTACTTGTGTGGAGGGCTGGCATGCTCATTTTGTTACACACTTTTCAGTCAGTTGATTAAACTCGATTTAATTGATAAAGTAGGAATAGAGTTCACACGCATAGGGTAGTTAAATCACAACATTTGAATTCACACCAAGATGTTTTTTCATTGAAAGTACAAATTAAGTAGCGATTATTTCTCTTTTCTTTTTTGTGACGCAAAAATGAGAACAGCTTTTCGCCTAAATACCAATGTACTGTGTTTTACGTATCTGTAGGAACCGCAAACGCTTTTCTATCAGTTGCTAAAAGAAATTATGAAATTTGACCACATCAGAAAATGGAAACTACTCGGAACATGTCCGGGTAGGGTAATGTTGTTCTGGGCACTTAATATACTTCGATTGAATTCTCATGTGATTTGAGGTGTCGCATGATGATTTGAGGTATGTTGATGAATTAGTAACTTTATGTACAAATATCAAATCGATTTGCAGTCTTGGATAAAGTTGTTTTGTATTCTTAATCTAAATCCAAGATTTGGGGAAATTTTAGCAAAATTTTGATTTTTGGTAAGCAAATGAATAGGATCGTTCCGATTCCCATACATTTTTTCCATACAAAATTTAAATTTTCCCGGATACGAGATTATAACCAAATTTGTTCCAATTTTGCACAGTTGTTGGACCTCAATACGCATTGAAAGAGCAGTGGGCACCCTACTGATCACTTCTCCGGGAGTATCCGAAACATGTCTGGATGTGTCCAATGTGGTCCTGGGCACTTGATAAAACCACAATTGAATTTATTTTTGGATTCTAATGTGGTTTGAGGTGTCGCATGATGGGTTTTGGTCCGATTCAGTAACTGGCCACTGGTATCCGGAACATGTCCAGATGTGACCAATGTGGTCCAGAGCATTGATGTAACTACCATTGAACTAGGTTTTGAACCGCAAGTGATTTGAGGTGTCGCATGATACGTTTCGGCCCAAGTCAGAAACTAGACACTTCCTCGGGGGTACTCAGAACATGTCCGGGTGTGGCCAACAGGGTCCTGAACACTCAATGTGACCATCGTTGATCTAGTTTTCGAATTCTCATGTGTTTTGATGTGTCGCATGTTGGCACGTTTCAGGTCACATCTACTCTTAAGGCCCATATTCAGCGGAAAATGTTCCGGCACATCTCTGGAATCAGTCAACCGATTCCAAAAATATAACGCCTCTCACACTTCGTAACACACACACAGCAGGCGAGGAACTGCAAAGGCCCTGACAGATCTGATCTGTGCAGGAAATGCGGTGATAAGATTTACATTGCAGAAGACTGCATGATGCAACCGAGGTACATGCTCTGCAAAAAGAAGGACGGAAACGACCATATGACGGGAGGCTTCAAATGGCCAACATACAAAAAGGCGACGGCAGGCCAACGGTAATGGAGGTAACCCAAATAAAATCATTGGGACACTGCACAGCAACTGCTGTGGCAGTCGATAACGAAAACAAAGTGCGACGTTGCAATCATTGCGAAACCCCAACGAGTTCCTCCCGATGACGGTAACTGGGTTGCGGATAGAGCTAGTATGGCGGCAATACAAGTTATGGGCAGATACCCCATTCGAGAAGTTGTTGCGAGTTCATATGAAGTTTTCGTGATCGCCAAAATTAACGCAATCGCCATATGCAGTTGCTACGCACCCCCTAGGTGGACGATAGAGCAGTTTCATCAGATGCTGGATGGGCTTACCGAAGAGCTGATCGGACGAAGACCGATAGCCATCGGTGGAGACTTCAATGCTTCAATGGCAGTAGAGTGGGCATGCAGATGTACCAACGCAAAAGGGTACAGCCTACTGGAAGCCAGCTGGAAGTTAGGCTGTCCAACGAAGGTACCATCAGCATTTCACAGAGACGGCAGTGAATAATCAACGTCACTTTCTGCAGTTCGTCGCTGGTAGCAAACATGAACTGGAGAGTGTACGAGGGGTACACCCATAGCGACCATCAGGCGATCCAGTATAGCATCGGCCAACGGAATTCTGTAGCAAAACGGATAACTTGCGAGCGGAGGTGGAAGACGACGCTAAATCAGTCCGAGTGAACAGCAGCCCCGCGGATCTGAACGCGGATGAGTTAACAGAAACGTTAGTGAGGGCATGTGACACAACCATACCGAGGAAACTGGAACCAAAGAACAGACGGCGCCCGGCTTACTGGTGGAACGAGGCACTCAGCACCCTCCGTTCTAGCTGTCTCAGTGCCAGAAGACGCGTTCAGAGAGCAAGATCTAAAGCAGACAGGTAGAAGCGTAGGATGGTGTTCCGAGCGGCCAGGGCCGCACTAATCCGGGAGATAAAGCTGAGAAAAGCAAACTGTTTTAAGGGAATGATGGCGCAGAGCAGAGGTCCAACGACACCCGTTGAAATGTGTCCAAACAAGTTGAAGGGACTCTTCTCAGGGGCTCGTGTATGAACAATATGGATAGTTGCTAAAGGATTGCGATTATAATAAACAGTCGGTGTATCCCTCAACCAATTTTCAGCTCGACAGCTCAGCCCAACTAACGAAAGTCTTTTACTAAGTGGGCTACAGGTTTAGCCCAACGAGCGAAAGTTGACTGTAGTACGTACCGGTTCATGCCCATGCGGATGCGAGTCGTAAGTGCGTACAGAACCATCTCGTCGGAAGCAGTATGCGTCATCGCCGGAATGATCCCTATCGGCATTGGGAAAGCGAGTGCTACGAGCAGAAGGAAATCAGAGGAGTACGGAAAATAATGAGAGTGGAGTCGATGGCAGCAGAAGTGGGAAACGGCAGAAAACGGTAGATGGATTCATAGGCTGTTCTCTCAACCTGAGTCACCAGAAACCATGGTGAGGTAAAATTCCACCTAACGCAATTCCTATCTGGTCATGGTTGATTCACGCAGTACCTTCATTGGTTCGGACACGCAACCTCACCCCTCTGCGCGGAATGTGGAAATGTGGTATTTGAATTGGTCCTATATTTGAAGCAGTGCGAAAGGAGATGCCTACCCTTAGCGTGGATAATGTCGTAGACGAAATTGAGAGCACTTGCACCTGAATTGCCGTTAGCAGGACAGTCGCTCAAATACTGTCGGAGCTGCAGAGAAAGTGGAGAGACTATCAGCGAGCTACCAACGCCGGCTAGCTGAGCTAAAGAGAGGTGCATAGGCACATCCCAGCCCCAAATTGGATCAACTTGTAACTGTCAAACTGAATTTGTTATTACATATTAAGTTGTATATGATGTCAAATTGAATAGCTTGCAAAGTAATTTTGCACGTCCAATTTTGTAGGTATCAGCTTTTTTACGTCATAAAACACAACTTTGATATACATACGTTTTGGTTGTGTGGGTAGTCAATGTTCAGTGGAGAAAATAAATTAAAAATTCGGGCAGAAGTCCAAAAATAAATTGAGTTTATTTTGCTTTGCACCGTTTTATTTTAGAATGCAATATTTAATGTATCGTTTGACGACTTATTACCATTCAACAGTTTTGTTTACTCTCATTAAAAGAGGTAAGAATCAACTGTACTTGAGCAATATTATGTATGTGAACGTCACGCTTGCATATCATGATTTAATGTTAATCGTTCAAGGGGCTGTCGCACGATTTTCAATAAAAAACAAATATGTATGGAGATTTTTGAATAAGGTTATCCCAGACAACCAGAAGTCGTATAACAATGCACAGATAGAATCGTAAAATGCTAAAGATTCGTATAAAAGCGCATATAACAATGAATTTCATCGCATGATGTTTAAGTTTCATCTATATACTGCAAACTTATACGATGTACTAATTTTTCTTCTTATAATAGTGCAAATTAAATCAGATAAACCCGAAGACTTGTCAAACTGAATTTGTTGTCACAGATAAAGTCAATATGATATCAAATTGAATCGCTTACAGAGTAATTTAAAATTTGCACGTATATTGCCTCCACTAGGTATATAAGCCATATTTTTGCATTATATATGATTTGTTTGTAGATATATTTGCTTGTATATAATAAAGCACAGCTTTGCTATATGCATTCTGGTTGTCTGAGATATGAGTCAATGTATATTTGGAATGCAAATAAATGGATTTAATATTTTGCCAACAATGCTTGAACTAAGCATGCAATTTGCCAATGGAATATTTACAAATTGAATAAAAATTGAATAAGCTAATTGCTGATCGTTTCCGGTTGAACAACATAATATATTATATAATTTGAAAGTTATATTCTTCCTGGTTATAAGAGCCCATCCAAACATTACGTAACGCAATAGGGGGTGGGGGTAGTCTGGAAATGTTTTTACCACCATACGTATAGGAAAAGTGCGTGACAAGGGGAGGGGGCTCAAAAATCAATTTTTTTTTGTGTTACATAATATTTTAACGGGTGAAACAAAACCTTCCGGATGTTACGTCATTTTCAATATACCGGGTAAATTCCGATTCAAGTATTATTATTTTTCAGTTTTTGCTACATTTTCGGCCGCGGTATCAAGCATGCACCTTTGGATAGAAGAATGTTCCGAAAGTTCAACGGACGATAAATTCAATCAATGCATGGACATGCAAAGTCTATCGGTATATCCGCCACACTGCCAGTGGAAGCATAATTGTCTCATGTGTATATGAAATTCCATAACACCGACAGTACACAGTTTATAAAATATATTCTGTTTAAAAATGAGTTTGAAAGGATTACTCAGACACTAGGATTGATCTATGTTTTTCTTGCTCTGTTATCCTAACATTCCTAGGATTCCTAGCATTATTTGATATTACATTGTAAGATTCCAATTCGTCTCTTAAAAATCATTATTAAATTCTATCAACACAACACTTACGGTGACTGCCGCTGCCCTCAGAATTCGATCGCGACTCAGAAGGTTCCAATGGTAGATCCAATGTCTGCAAGAGAGGAAACGGAAGAATCAGTTCAGACACACAACCGCTCGCGACCGATTTCAAACTTTGAATGAGGATACCCCGAAAGGCAAACTTACCATAAACACGTCGTCTTCGCCAACTTTATCAATATCGTGGTATTTGTTGTGCGTCGTGCAATCGGCCATACCTGTCGGGAAGGGGGAAGAACAAAGAAAATGACATACGATCGGTTAATAGGATTTGCATTCTGCCATACCGTGAACCATCAATTCCCAGAGAGCATATTAAAAGATGGACAACATAAAGCGGTAACGTAACAACATGTCAGAAATAAACTACATACAAGAATGAGAATGTGAACAGAACCAAGAAAGGGCTAGCACATTGTGGACCAATTGTTGGCTGACTGGCGATTGATTGTGTTTTGGAAAGTAAAAGCATTATGTCACACACGTCACGCGACTTGTCACAGCGCTGGTGGTACGGTCCCAGGCGTACTAAAAATGCACACGAAGTGGGTAAGTTCGTCCTATGACCAACGTTAGATAACCATAGGAACTAGATTCACAATCAGTGAAAGTGAACGTCATTCGGTTCTAGTTGACTAAATGGATCTTATGAAACCGAATAAGTATACCTATGTGTACTATGTATTCCAAGTGCTAAGCTGAAAGGATTACGGAAGTAGCCATCATATTGCGTCAAACAAGGGGCATAGGTCGATGGTTGGACGTTAGTGCCTAACAATATGTATGTTACTGTCGTATTAAAGGCGTATGTATTACTACAAATGCAGGTATAAAAGGTAAAAGGGGAAATGCCGGCTGTGGCAATTCCTTTTCCCATTATCGTCCGGGGGTAATCCAAGTCCTTGAGCGATAAAATTTGTCCAATCCAAGCTCTGAAACATGCAAAAAATGACCCCTGAAGGACTTCGTTTACCCCCTGACGACAATAGGTAAAAGTATTGCCGAAGCCAACATTTACCTTACTGATTTACGGACCTATTATCCTATAGCGCAAAACTGTATTAGGTGTGCGAAATATTTTTAACAACCGTATTCATACCGTAGTCGAAATTTGGAACATTCCGGCCGCTTCATTCAATTAAATAAAACGGATCTAACTTGTTAAATAGATAGTAACGCTTCATCATCAAACCTTTTTTTTTTTCTTTATAAAATGGATCGTTACTCTTCATTTAACAAATACAATCTGTCTTCACAACAGTGGCGTCGCGTAACCTCACTTTTTACCTGTGCACCAACTTTCAAAAACAGATTTAATGCCATATTCATACTCGAATCGGTTGAAAAACACACTTAATCTTCTAGTTAACTCGATATCTATCCATTGCAAGCAATATTTTGATAATTGTTTATGTTTTGAGAGTTGGTGCACAGGTAGATTGAGGTTAAGGCGACGCCACTGCTTCACAAGTAAAATCGTAATGGTAAAAACAATACATCAACAATTTTGGGTGTAGCAAGGAGGTGATGATTCTTCTTACACAGCAAAAAAAATGTAATATCGATCAACGTAATTCAAGCTGATGTATGAAAAAATGATGTAATAGCAAAAAGCAGATACAATATTACATCAATAGATGTAATTTTGTTCGCAAAATCGATGTACATCGTACAACGTAATATTACACAACCGGCGGAATGACCTATGTGCAGCTGTTTGGATGTAATATTCAACAGCTTTTTTTCTGTGTAGGAAACAATATTTAAGTATATCATGAAGCTATTTAATAGTGATATACTGCCCATAATCGCATATCAGTCCCATTGTTGCTTGATTTCCTATCCATATGAGACTGTTATGCGATTATGGGTAGTATACTTCTACTACTACGTACTTCTTGTTCTGGCTATACTTCCAAACTAGAACTTTACGTCTTTCCTCGAGCATTTCTACAAGTGGTCAAAGAAATCATTCTACGGTTGATTTGTACCAATCATTTGATTGTAGTGTTTTATTATTAAACATTTATCTTATCCTTCAAAACACCATAATTATTAGATCAGCTAAAAAAGAGTTGTTTCCTAAGTACGACCACATTTTTTACGTAGGACTACGAGATTGTTTTTGTTGCTCAATTGAACAATAATTACAAATTTATTGATTTGTAAATATAACTCTAAAATCAACAAACATTCAATTAAATATTCATGAAAATAGCCGACATTCAGTATCCTTAATTGAAGATTCAATTAATTCAAAATTCAGGACCCGTTCAAAATTTGGATCCAAACATGTACAATCAACTTTCGGTAGCTGAATAATGTTTATTTTACAGTAAACGAAGCGGCATTTCATTAAACAAAACAAAAAAAAAAACGGTTTAAACCAAAGTTTGTCTTTTACCTGAATTCAAATTAAAATCTATCAAACGCAGTAATTCAAAAACTTAACGTCAATTTAATTGTATCATACACTACAGTCATGAACTAGGATCGATAGAGAAAGATCGACGTTCAGAACAGTAATTTATTAGCCTACTAGCAAAGAAAAGAAGTGGATCTCGTGTAGAAAACCAGTTCTTCCTACTTTCACGAACAGTAGCGACGCCTGGTGGTAGCGGGCAAGCTTTTTTCACGGAAAATATGTATAATGTTTGTTAGTTTTAGACAAACCTACTCGTATGATTTATGCTGAAAGTTTTAATCAGAGTTGCCAGAACATATTTCCGCATATCGATATTATCACAACAACAAATCGGCAATTAGTGTAGAACTTTGGGTAAATTCAATGATTTTCTTAAACTAGTTTACCCAAAGTTCTGCACTAATACTTGTGCATTTCATAAACGTCAGAGAAGTCTATTGGGTAATACTTTCCACCTTCAAATTCGACAGATGTCACCTTGCCACAGTGGTGGTCAATTTAGTTTTGCGATGTGGAGAAACTCGACAAATTGTTAAATTTCTCGTCAAACATTTCTTTTTGCGGTGAAAAAAGTCTGTTCATAGGGGAACGACAGGATGCTTGACTTAGGACCACGATTAGTAGGTACAAATGTTTTTGCGTTAATGTTATTTCTTTAAATATTTAAAATGTTGTCCGACTGTGTGAAATGTAGCGTTTGTAGTTTTATGTAGTAGCTTACAAAAGGAAAGGTAGGATTGAAGCGTTGGATCGGGAACAAAACAATTAGGCAATTTACAGTTTTTCAGAGAATTTTTATACATTGGCATATATTATATAACAAATGACAGCTGACCCAAAATACTTATTGAAATTAAAGTTCGATATGGATCAACAGGTCTGCGGGTGGAAGAAATTAAAGTTGTAGGCGAGGTTGTAGGTAACCGCATAGTTGCATTTAATACTGTTAGCCTTGAAGAAGAACAAATTTAATAAAGATTGACCAAAGAATCAGACCACCATTAAAAATGCCTTGTACACCTGAACTAAAAATCAGTATTATATTTACTCAAAGCAAGCCACTAGAAGTCAAATGGAAAACTAGCACTATGTGGTGGTAGAATTCACCAAATAATTCTAGATAGATTTGAAATTAGGGCGTAACAGCTTTTGAGAACAATGACTTCTCTAGATTTCTAGAAATTCAAGACACGTCCACGCGAACCCACATAACCATAGGGTAGGGGAAGTCTTCCCTTTCTCGATGGTGATGTTTGTTTACATGGGCGAACCTTGACTGTCTAGAAATCATCGAGAGAAGCCATTGTTTACAAAAGCTGTAATTCCAGTTCTAGAATTGTTCACTGCATCTGAACAACCTTGCCAATGACAAACTACCTGCTAATTTAGCTACCCAGTAAGAACAAGCAATTTAGAGAAAGTATGCCCTAATGACATCTCAAATTTGGCAATGTCGATATGGGGTGAAATTGATCAACCCCATAAATAACTTTCCAGTGCATTTACAGCAAATGTGCTAAATAAATTTAGGTTCCCTGATTCCGAATTAGTTGCTAAAATCCTTGTGCGAAATGTAGTTTCAGCAGAAATGTCAAAACAAATTTCTTAAAATACAAATTTGCGGCTAAATTTAGGCAATAACTTAACAATTACACGAATGTTCACGCAAAAACATCGATTTCATGATAGTAAAATTCTAGACGCACTTAGGGTTTAAAAAGGTGTAATTTTATTTATAAAAGTGTCTATTTATTATATTTATATTATTTGTTTATGTTTTAGCCAATACGTTACATAAAGGTTGAACACGAAAAAATTGGAACACATTAAAAACCCTGCCATTAACACTGAGTTTTTTTTTCAAAATTTCACTGAATAAAGCTATGAGTGTATAGAATCACAGTAGGCATTGGTTGTTAGGAGGTCATTTGTTTACATCATGGCTTCACGGGAGCAAGCTCGTCGCAATTCGATCCTGGACGAAACGAAAATCAATTATTTTATTCATGTGTTTCACTTATACATTTTTACCAAAACATCAGCCTTATACTTACCATAAGACAAACCACATAGGTCCTATGAGAATGCATAAAAAGTATGTGTGACCCCTTATACATTTCATTTGACACATGATCTTCATTAACTTTTTGCAAGGCGTCTGCTTATTAGTTGACTTATACATTTTATGAATAATCAGCAATAGAAATTTGCCAAAAGGTATAAGGATATTTCTGTCCGTGTGCACGCTCGAAACGAAAATCCCGGTCTATCCGTTTCTGGCATTTTTCGATCAAATTCCTGGCAAGAAATTTAATACCTCGGTTCAACGGAAGAGTGTCCCGGAAGAATACAAAATCAAAAAGATGTCGAAATTCCCCAAAAAGTTCCTTATCTGGCAAGTAATCTGCAGTTGTGGGCTGAAAAGCGAAATTTCGTTACTTCTGGGACCATGAAGTAGCAAATTCTCCAGGAGGAGTGTCTACGGAACGGCGCCGGTGGTGTAGTGGTAAGCGTGATTACCTCTCACCCCAGCAGGCCTGGGTTCAATCCCAGTCGGCGCCGCCGGGATGTTCTGAGGCATAACATCTCTGATCACGCCTTCCTTCGGATGGGAAGTAAAGCCGTTGGTCCCCGGTTCATGAGTTGATGGGTCGATAGGTAGGGTCCAGGTGTAGGAGCTGCCTCCCTGGCACGTCGGTAGCATTGGTGCTCAGCACGGAAAACAAGATCGACGGAAAAAACAAACCAAAGGAAAAAAAAAAAGAGTGTCTACGGAAGAGACTACTGCCTTTT